GAGTACCGTTTGCTGGCCACACGAAACTATACCCTTGGTCAAGGCATTTAATGCCAACTGAGAGCACAGCCGGGCATTCATCCAGCAAATACGGCGTGCAAGGCTCCAGCAGCTGCTTCATCTTGACATCAGCTACCTCGCTGGCTTCAGTCGACCCATTTGCAGTAATCAGACTGATGGTGTGAGGAGCCCGTCTTGGGTTCTCCGCACCAGCAGCGTCCATAACTTTTCTGCTGAGGAGGTCTTGCTCACTCCCGGAATCGACGAGCCATGAGAACCTGCCTTCCCTTGGTGCTGGACCAGCAACTACTGTTGGGATGGTAGTAGGACATGTTTTCAACTTGATCAAGCTTCGACACTCACGACAAGTAAGCGACGATTCGGTGCACAGGAAACGACATGAGGGCACTGTTGCGCTATCAAAGCTTCGAACAACTTCAGCCAACTGCCTAGCTTTCACCTTGGCCATGTGGGCTGCCTTTGGGTCGCTCTTGGGCACGCGATCGCTCGTGGCAAAATGCACACTGTACTTGCGCTCACGCTTGACCATCTTGCAATGTTCCCCGCGAGCAGGGATGGTGCGAATTTCAGGTTTCATAACGAATGTAGTTCTTCGGACAGACGACTTAGACCTCTTTCTCGCTGGAGGAAGACAGGACTTCTTGAGACATGATCGTCCGGGCACACCAGTTGCAAGACATGCAAACCGATTGCTCAGGCAAATGGCAGCCTTCTTGGTATCTCCTTTTGCCTTTGGCTTTGGGGAATCCTTTCTTGGCTTCGTTTTCGGAGCCGGTGCTGCCTTTTCTCCATGTTTGAAAAAGCATTTGTCTCCTCTTCTGCATGTACCTTGTTGATCGTACCTGCATGGGGTCTTCGCCATCTCTTCCTTAGTCATCCGCTTCTTTTCCCTATCTGTGCTTTTGTCCCTCGACTCATTCCGCTCCCGGGATGGTTGGCGCTTCTTGGAAGGGTCACGCTTGGGCTTTTTTCATGCTTGAACTTACAATCTTTCCCTTTTGCACACTTTCCCTCCAAAAAGGCCCAACAAATGCCCTTTTCCCGAGAAGTGGATCGTCCGCGCGATGGCGAACGCTTTCGCCGAGGATCAACAGTAGGGGCTGCGTTCTTCTCATGTCGATCACCTGGCTTGAGCCGATTTCGCTCCGCGATACGTGATCGATTCTCACGAAGGCGTTCTCGATCTATCAGATCCTTGATGCTTTGCAGTAGGAACTTGTAAGACCGATGATGGTCACCTTCTTTTGCACGATCGAAGAGATCAATGTCGCACCTCAGGATTGTGCTAGTGCGGATCTGCCTTAAAAGGATGTCTCGAAGCACGTTTTCATGCGGTGGTTCGGGCATACCAGCGATGGTAGCGTCCCAGCGGTTGATGAAACGCTTCAAGTCCGCTACAGTATCGCCTACCTTTACCACATTGAGGAGATCTTCAACCCTGTAGAGGCTACCCGCTTCTTCCGAGGTCTTGAAATAGTCATCGAACATGAGAAGAATCATCCTTCCTCGAACCTGGATGCCTAGCTTTGCCTTCTCTTCTTTGTAATTGATGATTCGGTTTGCTAGATCACCCTTTGCGCTTCTGGTCAGTGCAGCTGCCAACTTGGTATCCAACGTTGTGAACTTCCCAGGGTTAGACAACCGCTCTTCCAGAACTTTCCTCTCATCAACAGTGTTGTAAACCTCCATTAACCAGTCCCAGGCAGCATCTGGTTTGTCAGAACATGACTTGATTTCGTCTCTCACATGATGTTTCCACTGCCTATAGGTTTCAGGGGTTGGCATGTCATTCAACTTGATATGATCTGCCTCCTTTACCTTTGGCTTCTCATCTGATTCTCTCTGAGTGAGTGACTTGACCAATTCAATCACCTGCTCAGAGGTGATAGCACCTGATGACGCTGGCTTATGGGGTTCGCGAATTGAAGGTGCAGGGCTATGGAACAAATTTGTCGGTGTTTTGCCCCCATCCGCTGCTGTGCCTCCGTAAACTGGAAGCACGGGCTTGATAGGAGCAGCTGCCCCTGGTGGGGCATCACCGATGATGGTGGCCGTCGGCGCTTTGGGTGCGAACAGCCCACTCAAACGTGCAGTAGCCTCTGCTGCAATGGTCTCCAGAGGATTTTTCCTCTTTGTGTCATCATGCCTAGGAGTAGACACTGGTGTGTTCATGACACTTGTTGGATGGTACTCTAGCTCGGGTCCAGCATGCATTTTGGCTTTAAGGTCATCGAGCATTTGCTGCAGGCTATAGTTTTCATTTTCTGCGTCGCGTAGCTCACGTCGAAGCTGAGTTTCCCGCTCATCGAACTCTGCACGAAGCGTTGCCACACCTTGCTCGGCACCGCTGGTGATGGCAGTGACAGTTTGCTGACAATCGTGCATGAGCTGAATGCGCAAGGAGTCCAGTTCTGCTTTTCTGGCTTCAGCTTCAATGGACCTTTCACTCTCTAGCTTAAGGATTCGTGCTTTCGCGGCACTTAGTTCCCCTTGCACTTGGTTGTAGCTAGATTGAGCTTGTTGCCTTACCGAACTGAGTTCATCATGATGCTTGCTCGCTACTTCATCGATTGCTTGACGAAACTTGGTTTTTACCATTTCCAACCATTGTCCCATTATCTCTTTGTGCCTTCTCTCTGCCTCAGCAATAATAGCATCTTCGTTTCCATTGTACACTTGTTGGATGTTTTGCTGAACGAACTGAAAGTAAGCTGTGACAGGAGCTGAACCCATGGGGTCATCTAGATCCACCGTGGGCTCAGTCATGAGACCGGCTGGGATTGCTACCGATGATGTGCCGTTCCCAGGAATAGCAAGAGCGTCCATGGCTGTGGTTAGAGCACTACGGCTGATAACCTATAGAAACAGCCGTTAAGCTGCAACTCCTGTTTTGGGCCGCGAGCTGCGAAGGTAAGTCTGCGTGACATCCTACTATGTGCAAGGTACAAAATGTACATATTACATGGAGTGAAAATACACTATAGTCTAGTCTTTTGGATTCTTTCTGGGAATTGTCGATTGTCAACGAGGCTCTTCACAACTGCTGGAACCCGCCTACAGAATTGCCAGCTGTGACCACCAAAGCTCCTGGTTGAGGAAGGACCTGCTCTCTTTCGTGCGCGAACGGGAACGAGGCTTCAACCCACTGGCATCGGCTTCCACGGTTCAACCTCTGACTTAGACGAGCTTGTTCGCTCCTAGCTACGATGCACTTGTTTCTAATAGCTTCTTGTTACTACTAGTAAGGCACTTGTTACTAGTAGCGATGCACTTGTTACTAGTAGCGATGCACTTGTTACTAGTAGCTTCTTGTTACTAAACCGTTCTTGGATACATGATGTGGGGTGTTCTTGGCCTTGGCGCTGTCGCCAGGCTGTCGCTGTCACAGCATGTACCCTGCATCTCACGCTGATCTTTTGCTCTGGCAGGTTCGAGTGGCTTGAAGATCAGTATGTCTGCACACTGTACATTCAAAGGTGTGCTTTAGTCAGGCACCACAACCAACTTCCAGAAGCTTGGAAGCTGGCACATCCTACTGATCAAGAAAGACCCTGTCTCCCCCTGCATGCTGGTATCTATTAAACTGAATCTCTCCACCGCACTAAGATCTGCTCATAATGTTGTCCTTGCCGTCTTCAATTCTCCGTGGTCTCACTGCCACCAGGCGAGTCGCCTCTTTCCTAGGGGCCGGGCATCCTTGAAAATCTTGTTGTTTTTCTGGAGCTTCCTCCAATGTCTCTGAAGGTGGCGATCATGGCATGGATCTGGCAGGCTCTTGGTCGGCTCTTTTGGCAGCATAGCTTCAAGCACCTCCAAGTGGACCAGCGCTGCTTGCCAAAGCGCAGGCCCTAAGCGTTTCACGCACGACACGCAACCTAGCGCATCCTGAGAGTCCGCTGGAGTTTTCACTTCGGACATGGGAAATCTGCGTCCGGCCAAATCGTGAGACCAGCTTGAGCTAAAATATGCTCAAGCGCATGGCTGAATCTGGCAAACTACATAATATCACAAACGCCAAACACCTAAAGTGTCAAAAGACTATGCCTGCAAAGAACAAAGTGCCCTATAGTCGGTGTAGTACCAACGTTCGAAGATTCAAGAAAGACATGCCTCTCCCAGGCCAATCCACAGCGAAATCCCTGTCTGTGATACCTGGCATTGGTCAAGGCAGTTGCACTTCTCTGTGGACTTCTGGTGCAACAGCTGAATTGTGCATGGTACTGTAAGCATATGCACAAACTCCTTGGGTGCAAGGGGCACATTGCCTGTAAAACGGTCCTTCTACAAACGATGAACATCGATACATCATTTGCAGTGATACTGGTAGCCACACGCACCTCAAAAACCTCAGGATCGGTGTCATCTAGTACCACCTGGGCATCTTGATGCACAAGGACGTGGAAGGACATGGAACCACATTATATAGGGCAATACAGCACACAGCTCACAGTCACGAACAACTTGTAAGAGAAGAACGCCAATGGCTCTTTAGCTGAAGGGCTGCCCAATGGTGAAACAAGCGGCCAACCCTCACTGCCAGCAACCCATCTAACCGGGAACCCTGAGGTCAAAGCGAGCTGGAGCAAAGTTTCCTGGGATGCGAGGCCTCAAATAGGTGAGAGGAAACGTGGAAACTGTCCCAACTTGTGGCCCTTCAGCCGGTTCCTTCCACCTGCACCATGCAACCCCATGCAAATCACACACCGCCATACAACAACGAATCCAAGAGCTCAAAACATTAAGTGTTCCTTTCTCTTCAAGGAAGCTCCACCCCGCCTCAGGCTGGGGGAGCTTCCTTGAAGAAGCGTAAGCTATCCTGCATCCTAGCTAGGAGCGAACGTCTTCTAGTAGGTCACTTCTTCCTTTGTGTACTTATATAATTCAGTAGGCACCTACTTAATTAAGTAAGGAGGCAGGGCCACTGGCTAAAAATAAGGCATGACCTCACAAACATGGACCGGAGAGGGAGCTCAAGCTTTCTTCGTCTGTCACTTTGCGCTGGGTTCATCTTGCATTGACCTATCGATTCCACCTCACTTGGGCAACTCACTTGTGAGCAGTCGTTGTTGCTCAGCCTCAGCTCATGTTTACCCCACATCACGAACAATAGAAACAATAGCATGCTTCCATTATCTTTCTTCCATTGTTGGACTTGGCTGATTACCAGATCTCATGATCTCGCAAAACAGGAATTCAAGCGCAAACAAGGCCTACTCTGAGCGAATTTGTGGGCCGGGAGGGCTGAAGCCTTCGACAAAGCCATGTCTAGATTTCAAGCTGAAAATCTCCAGATTTGGAGCTTCCCCTTCAACTCCTCCATGAGCTTCCTCGAGACAAATTGAGCGAAAAGACTTGACACCCAAAAAAAGCTGCAGCAGCAGCGAGCAACGTTGAGAACCCAGTAGTTGCGTATCATAGTTTCCTTCTTCCAAAACAGCTGAGGGTCCTTTCGGCATATCCTCTTCAGCGACCATCTTCTTTTCGGCATCCGTGGGCAAGGCCTCATCATCTGGCAGCGTGTCAAACAGCTTCTGCAGGCGTTCCTGACAAGCAGTTTGAGCATGGGTAAAGTGGTCGCGAATTTGCCTCTCGCTTGCTATGCCAGTCTCTTTATGTTTTTTCCATTCGAGCAGTATTTGCCTGCAGGATGAGTCCACTGTGCCGAAACTCATGTCCTTTGCAATTCCCAAATAGTGTTGCTGCTCCCCCGAATGCGCATAATTAAATAACATTCGATTCAAAGTCAACAAATCTTCCCTTTGAGCCAGGGTGAAGGGGAAAACAGCTAAGGTTGTTTATATAAAAATCGATAGCTGTCCTTCCAATCGTTCTTCAGGTTCGATATGTGACGCTGAAATTCTGTGGGGCACGTGTCGGAAGCGCAATAGAATTTCCTGAGATGTGGTGCGTCACTTCTCAGCACACAGCAGGCAAAATGCATCTCTCTACATACTATTAGGATCTATTAGGTTGGAGGCCATCGCTATTATATAGGTTAAATATGGTGATATAAATGCTCCTCTCTTTCTCACTCTCTCACTCTGCAGCGTGTCTCTCCTGTCCTTGCGCTAGTCCACCCATCTGGAATGACCACAGCAACCATTCTGGTTGCGTTCTACGGGCCTTTAGAGCCCTTAGAGTGCTAAGCTAATGGCTGGGACAAGCCAATGAAGGAACAAAAGTAAACATCGAAGTTTGCGTGAAGGCGGGCGAAACGGGAGCATGATGCACCAAACCTTCTTGCCAAGTAGCTGCCCATCCATTTTCAGAAAGCCAAGAGTATTTGACTCTGGCCGTGTGTCCTCCCAATCGCCAAAATCCTGAGTCGGCGTTTAGGCCATTGCAAGATTGTAAGTCATGCAGTAAACAACCAGCAAACCAGGCCACCACACGTTCAAAGCTAGGCTATATGGCCTAGAATCCTCATCTTCTTCTGACAATGGCGATAAGGTGTCCTCGCTTGGAATCTCCTCGCTCTCGCTATCACACCTAGGAGACTGGTCGAAATGGAGCTCACCATGAACATCGATGAACCCATAGAATATGCATTAAGGCTGGTGGGCTCACAACAAATATCAACAAATTTATTGGGGGGAGTTCGAGCCATTTAGGGGCAATGCCAACACCGGTGGCTCGAAAGGTTTGGACAACGTTTGGCCCACCCTATCACAACAAAACTATACTGTGATCGTGAAACGTATATATATATATATTATATATACATACTATATACACATACCGTAAATACCTTGTCATCATTCGCCGTGGTCCCTGATCCCTGCCTGGCATGACTGCCTGAAGGCTTTGCTTCCTCGTCATCACTTCCAGCATGTTTCAGGCAGTCATTGGCGGATTTGCAGAGCTGTTGCATGCAGGCCTGCAACTTGGTTGTGTCCTGCAGCTTTCATATCTCAGGGCTGCAACTTGATCACAACACGACGTTTCCGAAATACATCTCCCACCAAAGCTGCGACAGCGCCAAAGAAGGTTTCTTGCCTGGTCTGAGTCTCCCAGAATCAAGTCTAGCTCCCTGGCCAAAGCTCCCACCGCCATCATCCGCTTGGGGCATGACTTTCTGGAGCAATCACCAACCACCTGGTTGAGCACGTTATAATTACGTTGCTTCGCTTCTTGGTTTTTCTTTGAGTGTGTGTGTGTGGAAAGTTGAAAGGATTGAATTCTCCTAGACCTGGATAAAAAGTCACAAATCATTAGTACACAAAAAACAGCCCACTACTGTAGATGGACAAAAGCAGCTCACATCAGCTCACTCCTGCAGGTCACAAATGCTTGACAATTCTTGCAAACACGGCAGCTCCTCTCTTGTAGTTGAAGTCTGAGTGTCTTATTTTGAACATGACAACCTTTTTTGTCTCAAGCGAATCTGACGATTTTTTGTCCGGTAAATTGTGGAGAATGACGTCCATCGCAAAATCAAGCATTAGAGCCTTCATAGCATATCTCGCCTGCCTGTGCCCAAAGGGCCGTGGCTGAATGCTGGGCCATGGTCGGGTGGATCACCAATTCAAGCACCTCACAAGAATGCAACCCCACCGAGTTCGACTTGGGGCAAGGGAAGGTTGAAGACCAACAGCAACCAATACGCATGCACATCCCGGCTCCAAGAATGTCCAAACTGATCATGATCTTCGTTTGCTTTCCGAGTTTCCTCTGTAAATTCGTCCATGAGTGCCCCCGAGCAAAGGGTGGTGGTGGTAGCTTTGCTATGCAAAAACGGACAAATCCCAAACAAAGTTCAGGATGACAATGATGACATACACCAAAAATGAGACATCTAGAGATACTTCTTACCTATTTCTCGTTCGAGGCACCTTAGAGAGGCCATGCCTCCAGGAACTTTCCCATGGCCCGCTGTCCGTGAGGCGCTTCACAAAGCGAGGCATCTGCCAAGCAACGGCCGACTGGCACTGGCAGTCCATCTCCAGGAGCATCTGCAAATACCTCAGGCTGTCAGGTGAAAACGGAGAGACACTATATATGTAATATATGTATTATACACACACAACCGCACGCATAGGAGGTGTTTCATATTGGAATAATTAAATATACCGTGCAGTATATTATTACAATATATAATATATAGTATCGATTCAAGCTCACCTATCGAAAGGAAAAACACTCGCTGGGGTCTTGAGATTGAGAAAATGGAGCAGCAGCGGACCTGAAATCGACTTTGACTCACCCCCTTCATCCGATGTCGGATTTTGCACGGCGTGGCCCCTAGAAAAGGACCGGCAGGCTGGAATGGCGGCCGTGGTTGCTCTCGGCGTCTACAAAGGCAACATGGAAACCTCGTAAAGCTGCCTTGACCCAGTTGACCAATACCAAACATCGCCCAAGCTGCTTCATAAAGTCAGCGACCTCTTGCATTGCCTCAACCACCTCCTTGGCTTCACTAGCCTCCGGCGTCAAGGACTTGGAGACGGCCCACGCCATCGTGTCAATGGCTCTCTCAGCCTCGGTTCTTGGGTTCCCTCAACCTTTCAATAGAGTCAGCTTGATATCCGATTGAATAAGAGGCCTTCATGGCAGGTAAAGGTGGTAATTAGGGTCATTATTGGAGCCAGTGGAGAAAAACCATCTGTCATCTCCTCCTCCTGAAACCCGTGGTGGGTTTGTGTGGATTTGTGGGATTTTAATATCTCTTAATACAAGCGGGATAAGAAGAAAAGCAAACGTTGTACAACGCTCAAATGTGCGACGCGATCTGCAAGAGATGTTGCAAGTTCCAAAGAACCGTAGTCTTTCACAAGCATATCCACCAATGTATCAACTGCATCGACTGGCTTGACTTTCCACACTTGCTCTGTTGCTTCCTCCAAGGTTCTCTCTTTGAGCTCGAAGCCTTGCTCAGGCGTGTTAGGGATGCTGGCAGGTGAAGCCGTGTCCTTTGCCATATTGGGTTCATGGGAGATCTTTGATCGGCTCGGTCGTGGTTCAGACTCCATCTCTTCCAGCTCTCTCTTCTTCTTGCGCGGAGGCGTTGCTGGGGCCGGCGCTGCACGGGGTTTCTCGGACTGGGCTTGCCGATTTCCCACTTGGCCCAGAAAGTCCAAAACTACTCGGCGGAGGTCTGTCATTAGAATAAGCTCAGCATTGTGTGCACAGGCCAAGCGGTGTGACACCAAGGCATCATGAATCTCTTGCGAAAGCGACCTTAGTAAGAACGCAGCCCAAAGGGCTTGGAATGGCGTGGGGGTGGAAGGGGTCTTATCAATTGTAAGGATAACATCTTTCATCTCTCTCTCTCTCTCTCTGTCTTGTGACCGATTCGGACACACTCGTGTTTGGCCTGTCCTATCAGCCAATGGCATAGCCCATCATAGCCCTATTGTGATATACTGATATACTAGACTCACAACCCGGAGGTGTCAGGGGAATGCACACGGAGATTTTGGGCCCTTCGTGTCAAGGAGCGCCAAGGCGTAGGCACACTGAGGTGTTACATCAGCTGGCCGATCGTCCAGCAGCAAGGAGGGCGCCCGTTGCCAAACTAAGCGAAGCAAGCAAAAGGCAGCCTGATCCAGCATTGGCCGCCTCAAGACCTGGGCAGGGCGCTAGGTTCAATAAGGACAGGAACAGGGCTAGCTGCTGTTGTGCTACCTGCTAGATTGTGGAAAAACCATTTCACATATTTCACGTCGGACGAATTTATATAAGAATTCATCCCACTGGTCACCATGTCAATGCGTAATGGTGTGGGGTTGGCAAATTCTAACAGCTTTGTTGAAAGTGCGTGTGGATGGCCCACGATGTTGGCAGTCATGATGCTGCCGTTGAGTACAATGGAAATCGATTACAGGCTTCTGGGAAATCGATGCGGATATTTTGCAATGAAGTTTATATATACTTAATTATACTTATTTTATAATACTTGTTACCTCCTTCCACCCAACATCTGCTCCAGCAACCCTTCAACATATTGCCGCCAACAGCGCAAGGTCACGGATCGGCTGCAATTGAGGGCTCAAAGCTTTCCAGTCACACTGCCAACACTGAGTGACACCGACCATGATGCCTTGGGAGTCAGTGGAACAACCAGTCTCCTCTATCCGGTCACGGGTCGTCTTGATGATTTCTCCTGTGATACTTGGTGCTGCTGGTTCACATGTGGTCCAAATTTACTTTGCGACTTCCAGTGTCTCTAGAAATGGAATGCTGGGCGAGTTTGAAGAACATGCTAGCAAGAAAGCATTAAAAATATGCTCCGGGCCATGTTGAAAGCCATGCGCTCACACAAGATACACAAGTAAGAACCAATTGTCGCAAGTTGATCCGTTTGCGGACTGGCGGCATTCCAACATGTTCGGCAGTATGTTGTAGCCCACACTCCTTGCTACTCAACACGAAATCAAACAACATGCAAATAAATACGGGAATTGGAACCAAATTTCTAGAACTGTTGAACGTCATTAGCCATAAGGATGTGGTGGGGTTCATTGTCAAATTTATGCAATTTTCATCAGTCCATGTTACCATGTTGGTTGGATTCGAAACCCTTTCTGGTGTGGTGCGGTATTCTTTTTTGTTACCATTACTTTGTTTTGAAAGCATCCAATTCCGCCCATCAACTCATCACGAAATACATGAACAAATCAATAAGCGATTGATGATCAAAACTCCTGTCCGCCAACAATGACCACTACAAGTACGCGTGAAAACTTGATGAATCTTTCTCATTAGCATCAGCAAATCTTTTGCGAACCCATCGTGGAGAACCTTCTTGTATGACACCTTCATCAGGCATGCCCGAGCTAATACTACGTTGCCAAATTGAAAAACTGAAGAACACAACCGTGACAGCCGCCACATGAGAAAACAACAAGATGGAACCCACGAGCCCCAAGGCAAACATGCACTCGAAAACAAATGGCCAAGCATTGTTTGACACTCTTTTGGGGCACTCTTGTAAAACACATGTGGGAAACTGTCCTGGGCACTCTCGTGCGACACTCTTGTCATGGACGCTCTGGTGGGATGCTCTTGTGGAAGCCTCTTGTGGGCCACTCCTGTGGGGCACCCTTGTGGGCCACTCCTGTGGTGGGACTCCTTCGTGGCGTGGTCTTGTGGGACGCTCTTGTAGGATTATGTTGGCCAGTTAGCCAACTTCTATGGGAGTATGGGAAACAAAAAAAAGTGCAAAAAAAGTGCGTGCATGAAAAGCAAACACAAAATAGCAACGTTCAAGAAAAGCAAAAAAAGAGCAAAAAAAAAGCAAACAAAAAAGCAAAAAAGAGCATTTTTTTGGAGGCAAATTGGGCACGCTTCTTTTTTGCACTTTTTTTTGCACTTTTTTTGCACTTTTTTTTGCACTTGTTTTTGCACTTTTTTTTGCTCTTTTTTTGCACTTTTTTTGCACTTTTTTCGCATTTTTTTCGCACTTGTTTTTCTTTTTTTCGAGGAAAGTGCAAAGTTTTGGCATTTCCAGAGCCACAAAAAAAGTGGGGAAAAAGTGGGAGAACAAATTCCAGAGCCACAAAAAAAGTGGGGGAAAAGTGGGTGAAAAATTGTTTTTTTGTTTGTTTTTTTTCCCTTTTTTGTTTGCTTTTTTTTCCCTTTTTTGTTTGCTTTTTTTTGCACTTTTGTTTGCTTTTTTTCTGCTTTGTTTCTGCACTTCTTATCCAGACAGTTTTTCTTTCTGCTTTTTGGTTTTGCTCTTTTTTTGCTTTTTTTCTGCACTTTTTCTTTTTCAATGATTCTTAGAACTTGGCTGTAAGTGGACAACATAATTGTAGGACACTCTTGTTGGCTACTTTTATACATCGGACACTCACTCTTGTGGAAAGCTCTTGTGGGCTACTCTTGTGCGACACTCTTCTTGTGGCGTGCCACACGCTAGATAGTGTAACGTCAAGCCGCAGCCCCGGGGACACTGCCAACCAACCCGCTCCCCAGCGACACGCCAAATTTACACCAGCACGTTTTCCTTCTCCCAATGGCACGGACTCACGCAAACGGACTTCCACCGAGGCCGCGCAAAATCGCATGGCATAGCCACATCACAGACGTAATTTGGCCACATCCCGCACTACATTTGCATTGCAATTCTGAGGCCTACAAAGCTGCCAGCTCTAGGACACTCTTGTACCACACTCTTGTGGAACACTCTTTTCTGCCACTCTTGTGGAGCATTCTTGCGGAAAACTCTGGGACACTCTTGTGGGGCACTCTTGCGGGGCACTCTTGCGGGGCACTCTTGTGCGTAGCTCTCGTTGGGCACGCTGACACTCTTTCTTGTGCGGCACTCTTGTGGGGGAATTTCGTACGACACTCTTGCGGGACACTCTTTGTGGGACACTCTCGTGGGACACTCTCGTGGGACACTCTTGTGGGACACTCTTGTAGTGCACTCTTGCTTCCTCCAAAAGTCGCGCGTCAAGTCTGCAAAACAAGCGCTTCGCTCCAAACTTCCTCCAAAAGTCACACATAAAGTCTGCAAAATGAGCATTCTTACGAGACTTCCTCCAAAACTCACACTTCAAGTCTGCAAAACGAGCGTTTCCTTCTCATTCGTCAAGTCTGCAAAACTAGCTTTCCGCACGAGACTTCCTCCAAAAGTCGCGCATCAAAGTCTCCAAACGAGCGTTCCGTACGAGACTTCCTTCTAGACCTGCCAAGCAGCTTCAACAACCCCAGCCGCTCAATACCACAACCGCTGGCACACCAATCCCAATGTCACAGCGGCATTCCGCCCCACCAAATATCACAACCTCGCGATTCCCTGCGCCTGCCACGAAAAGTGGGAATATCACGTCACATGTTCAATCATGTTGCTGTCTTTAGCAAGATTTGCACCACACCAGGTGTTTACGCCAACCTGGTTTTGGCAACACAAGGAAGAATAACTTGAGCAGGTCAGTGCAGCTGCGTGTTTGCATATTCATGCGTATGCGTTGTTTTAAATGTCCTTTTCTCTCCTCCTGGTTTAATGTTCACCTCGTTTGATATGCTATCCATTCCACTTGGCTCCTCCTGAATTTTCCTATTCAGTTGTCCCCTTCAATTGTCAGCTGGGCATGCCACAGCCCCCGGCAGGTTGGTCTACTCCAAGAGACACAGCATCGAGGCATGCCGTGCCAGCAGTGTCTGACACGCGCTGTCGGAGGTGAAGAAGAGAGCTCAGAATCCTCAGCATTATATATATTATATAGTTAGAGATTGTCTAGCGAAGAGAATGTCTAGTTAAGGCCTCAACCGGTGCACTGTGAAAGCAAAAATAAAGTCGAGTCTAGTTGAGCTCAAGGGGCTCAGCGACCACTGGAAGTGCTTGATCAGCCGCAACCTGTCCGTTGACCAAAATGCAGCGGGACTCAACCTAAGCTGCAGCGGTAAAAGACTCCAGACTAAAGGCAAATGAGGTGCTATAGCTTGTTCTGCAAAGCGATGTCGCTTTCCAAAATCTTTACAATCCAGATACTCACACGTTCACTCACACGCTCTATCCCAGGCACGGAAATGATCTCTTCCAAGCGTTTCGACAGCAAAAGCCCACCGAAGGAGCTCAAAGCCTCCAAATCTGCCAGTGCCTCGCACGGGCATGGCTTTTTCCAGTTTTTTCCCTTGTATGCTTATTTGAAACAAACTCTGTGATGGCGGCGGTGGCTTCTCATTGTTTTGCTGCCGAACGCCCGTCAGGATCACAGTGAAGAATAGTGAAAGGACATTGAACGAACAGGAAACGCGGACATATCACCCAACCAAATGCCACAGGCGGCCACAGGCGCAAGGGGCAATGTGGGCGGCGAAATTCCAGAACTTCTGCGACTGCGCTGGCAATTGATACATGCCACCCTCTAAATCTATGTAGAGGATGAGGAACCAACAAAGAGTATATGAAGCTTTTGAAGTATATTCGGTGTCTGATGAGTGCTTCCCCTTCTGAAGGTGAAGGTGCGCTGGTCGGCAGTCAAAGTCTAATCAAAAATCATCAAAAATCTGTGTGTGCTGTCTGGCCAAAGCTCTCCCGAATCACATCATGTCTGAACAAAGCCTAAAACTGCATCAAACTCTTCAGCCAGGACATGGTATTTGAATTTGTGAGGAAAACGCGATGCATCTGTGCAGTGCAGCTGCAATCTGTACAGAAAGGTCAATAAGTCTAAAGCAAGGTGTGGGTGTGTCAAGGCCTCAGGTTTCATACTGTTCGGGATGAGCATCTATAACCTGTGTTAGAACCATGAGCCCATTGAACCTCAAGTCGAATCAGGAAAGGACACCCATCTGCAACAATACAGCAATCAGAAATTCACAGAAAAGTCCGTCTCTGTAATAATTTGGTCGGTCTCAAAAGAAAAAAAACAAGGGAACAGTCAATTCTGGGATGAGGGACCGGTCACGCTCCTGATACCACGAGAACCTTTCGATATGGCCCGCGAGTCATCAGCATCCTCGCGACCTAAGATAGGATGATTCAGAACAAAAGCGGCATGCAAAGCTATGGCATGAAGCTCGGAAAAAATGGTAGCAGCAAACAAAGTGCCGATTCCCACATGGTCATGTTGCAGGGACCCGCCGCGGTGACCCGGAAAGCAAATAGCTATCTTCCCCAAGAGTTTGAATCTCAGACTGGACTGTGATTTTATAACTCCAACCTCCTGAAACGACACAACGAGAAATCACAAAGCTTCATCTTAGAAGGCCGGCGACCAAGGTTGAACCGACCAGTCAATTGACTGTTCAGGTCCGGAAACATATCATACGAACCGCCGCGTGAGTTCCGCCCCTTAAGGGTGGTACTTGCAGTGGCCGTCCCTGAACGATGTCGGTCTACATACCTTGGATCAACATGTCGGTCTTTCAGAAAAAAAAGAGAAAACAACTGTTCAACATATACAATTCATTCATGCTCGTTGCTTTTGTGCTCTCGGATGTCTGCGCAACATTGGTTTCACAAAGAAGACCTAATTCAATTGAGTTGCATTGATCTGAAGGCATCTGTTCTAGGTGGTTTCCGGCGTCGAGGCGAAAATTGGGTGTTCTTTTCGGAGGCCCTGGGTGACATGATCAAGGGCGTGTATGCTTTCCTCTTGGGGGGGCTTTATTGTGGCCATCTGCTTGAGGAACTGATCCATTTTGGCTTCCAGTTTCTCCATGGCCACATCAATCAGCTCCACCGATGCCACTCCGCTAGTCATGTTAGTCTTCGGCACCAGCATCTGCGCATCTTTAGTGGCCCTTGGCTGATCGATGTCAATGATCCCCGTAAAGTTTGGATCTGCAGAAGCCACACTGCCTGAAGCGGAAGAACTCCCTGACATGGATCCAGCTTCATCTACCGGAGCCAACTCCTCATGTTTTTTGGTTTCCTGCAAATCCTGACCCTCCTTATCTGCTATGGTTTGTCCCTCATCTGTTTGTAAATCGGCATGTTGCGGGAAGTCTTCGTCAGAGGCCAGCGCCGAACCCTTCTTATAGAGCTGCATGTCAAAGGACAAGTCATCAATCCTGGAAGCAAGCTGGTTGAAACAGTCCACTGAGAGATCGTAAAGGTCTTCCTGCAAATGCATAGTCTGCAGCATGTTGTACTTGATGAAACGAGGTGCCGTCTTGGAGTCATGTGCCCAGCGACTAAGTGGGCCAATGAATTCAGACACCTCTATTGTACCTGATTGATCAACATCAATCATCTGAAAGAGCTGTTGCAAATCATTCCTTGGCCGTTCAGGTGGAAATGAAAACAGCGCCTGCCACAGCTCTGTCACAAAACCCTATACGCGAGGAGCGTAGTCTAGGGCCACCTACAGACAAAAGCACACAATTGTTTTTTCATGTGTTTGTCATATTTAAATCGTCATGCAGTTGAGGCTCTCATCAATGTCCATGACACGAAGTCGGCTCTGAAATACTGGATCACTACGAGCCCCTTCAATGAGGTCTTCCAGCGAAAGCTCTCCCGTGCCCCCTTTATCGATCCTTTGAAAGATCTTGCTCAAGAGCTTGCTGTCCTGTTGGATCTCTGCTTCCATCTCTTCAGCCAGGTTCTGCACATCATTTTCCTCAGACACATGCAGCCACCACAACAACCCCCCTCACATCTCTTACAGCCGAACATGTTTTACCTCCAAACTGTTGGCGAAAAAA